GACTTCTGTTGGTGAAAGAGACAAGCTTCTGAGCTTACAGAGAGCTCATATTCAGGTCTCTGTGTAAGCTCGAAAGTTTCTCTCTTTCACCAACTAAAGTAGGTCCAAAAAAGACATTACCTCACCTTCCTTATCTGTCTGATATCCTGGGACCAACATGGCTACAACAACACTGCAAATAGCTTATATGGGCAGCCTTCACCACGATCAGTTTCAGATTCTAAAAATATGGATGGAATGCTTACTGGGAGTCTTGGATAAGTGAGAGAGAGAGAAAGGGTCTAGAGTCACTGGTTAGGTAATTAATAGAGAGAGAACCTATCAGAGCCGGGCAGGAAGAAAGAGTGAGGGGATGAAGCAGGAAAGAGGAAAGGCCTGGAAAGACGGATGGAAAAGGATGGGAGGCAAAGACAGGTGAAACCTCGAATGTCTGGATAAGCACAGATTGAATCATCCATATTTATTGAAGCTTATTTGCAGCAAATCTTTGAGGGTCTCCCATTGCTACGCTTACCAGTGTCCCTTTAATTTTCAGTAACTGGCAAATGCAAATTAATCATTGTTTAACATTTTGCTAATTATTCCACTTCTAAGGACTTTCAAATTATAGCTATATCTTACATTTTAAAATGATTATTATTGTGAATTATTATAATAATGTGTATTATTTGTTTTGTGAAAGCACCTAGAGCTGGATTGAGCTCCCACTGTGCTGGGCACTGTACTGATCTATAAGAAACATTAGCCACTGCATGTGTAATGTGCATTATGGATGCCAATTCCATACTGATTGAATAAGCAATCTGAGACCTAAATATCGAGGCCCCACTCCAGCAAAGCATTTAAATACACACTTAACATTAAGCATGTGAATATCCCATTGGAAAGTTTAGCATGTGCTTAAGAGCTTTGTCAGACTGGAGCCCTACTCACCAGTGTTTTGTTTGAACTATAAAAATAAAAATTAATCAAGATTATGTATTTATGTAGCATCTTCTACTCAAAATCTCAGTATTTTACAAACATTAACAAATGGTGCATTATACTATCTCTGTAAGGTAAGAAAATGTCTTCATTTTATAGATGGGGAAACTGAGGGAAAGGGTTAGAATAAGTAAGAGTGAGTTTTAAGGCATGTGTCCTAAAGGGTTTCTAAAAATAGTGTAAAAACCCTTTCACACTAAAACAGTTTTAACACTGTTTTGGCTGACCAAAAAGGATGGACCAAATCCCATTCAACTGGTTTTAAAAACCACGCTTTAACTTAGATAATGACAATGTTTACAATCACCTTAAGAAACTCAGTTCCCATCCCACTGTGGATGGTGCCAAAGAAAAATGAGTTAGAAAAGCAGTAAGCTACTGGCCTACAATGCATAATAAAATCATTTTTATGTATTTTATATTGCAATGCTACTCTAACATCACGAATACCAGTTGGATTAAAGAGATAAATTAGATTCTCTTGAATTTCAAGGGGATAAAAATGATCTCAGAGTAAATACCAGTAAAACTAGAAATAAGGTATTTGGTAGAAAGAAAACCCAAGATAATCTGGAGTTTGAAAAAACAGATGATAGAATCATAGAATATTAGGGTTGGAAGAGACTTCAGGAGGTCATCTAGTCCAATCCCCTTCTCAAAGCAGGATCAACACCAACTAAATCATCCCAGCCAGGGCCTTGTCAAGCCGGGCCTTAAAATCCTCTAAGGATGGAGATTCCACCACCTTCCTAGGTAACCCATTCCAGTGCTTCACCACCCTCCTAGTGAAATAAAAACTGATCTAGTTATTGTCGGATTTTGTTGACTCCAGGATTGGATTAGAGCCAACAAATTGGGACAGTTTGACTACAAAACTGTTGTTGAATCAGATAATTCTACTAGGCATTGGTTCCACTTTCCTTCAAAGTGCTAAGAGGTGGCTTTGGAGATCTTTCACATTAAAGTCAGATCCCCAATATTAATTAATACAGTAGTTTGGGGCTTTAAGGTCACCAGAGAATTGAATTTCCTAATGCAGTGATCAGGGGTCCGGGGCCCTCTCGGGGGCCACAAGCAGATTTCAGGGGGTCCACTAAGCAGGACCAGTGTTAGACTTGCTGGGGCCCAAGGCAGAAAGCCGAAGTCTCACTGCATGGGGTTGAAGCCTGAGGCCCTGAGCCCTGCCACCTAGGGCTGAAGCAGAAGCCTGAGCAACTTAGCCTCACAATGCCCCCTGTGGCATGGGGTCCTGGGCAATTGCCCTGCTTGCTACCCCTTAAAGCAGGCCCTGGCTTTTATATGCAGTTTTATATATAAAACTAGTTATTTTGGCACAGGTGGGTCATGGAGTTTTTATAGCATGTTTGGGAGGCCTCAGAAAGAAAAAGATCGAGAACCCTTGTCTTAATGTACATGTTCCTCAGCATGGGCTTGACTGCCCTAGTGCTATTGTCTGTTGCAAGTGCTTTACAAAATTTGATCAGATTAATTGGTGTAAACATCGCTTCAGATTGGAGTAGGATTTGGTGGCTGAGTAGAGAGAGATTATTAGGCGTGTGTCAAGATGAAAGATGGGTGAAATGGTTGGATAAAATAAAAAGTAAAGTACATGAAAGTGAGGCTTTGTGCAGATCATAGTTGCTGCAAAAGGAAAATGAACATGGCAGTGGTACTTTTCTGTAACAAGATTTATCTAACCTGATTTTGGAGCTGTGTTTTTTTATAAACTTTGAGGGGAACATGGCTGAACCAATTCCTGACATGCTAAAGCTAGGAATGAGAAATAAATCCTTAGCTAGTTACCTGGTGAAAACGAGGAAAGACTGCATTTTGTGATGGGCGCGCTGAGCAGACCCGGACAGGTTAAACAGATATGAAGGATTTTATCATCCTCCATTGAAGTCAAAGGCAAAATTTCTATAGATATAAAAGGAAACAGCATTATGCCCAGGACCTTGAATGGAAATAACAGTGATATAGCCATCTATGTCTGCCTGTTGGAATGCACCATTCATTTTGTTTACACTTATTTGTAGGCTTTAATGATTGCAATATTTGCATAGTAATTAGTTCTGTTTAATTATGATTAACTTGTTAGGATGGTTCAGTGATCTAAGCCTTAGATTTTAAATACTTAGACTCCTTGCTGGAACCAGGGTCAAATTCCAGCAGGATTGACTCAGACCTTCATCAGTCTAAAGTAGAGGAGTTCCATGTGGCTTGCTCTGTGAGGGTCTTTTGCATGAGGCATTGAACACCGAAGTCTTGTCTGCCCTGTGTGGCCATTAAAGATCCCTTAATGAGAAGGGGTGTCACAGATATATTTTGTCAAAATTTCACCCCTCCTCTACATTGTTGTGCAGCATGGTGCCCTTCTGGTTGCCACCCACGCATGCCCGAGGTGTCTGCTTTTCACTGGTGAGTGATGTAATACCTATATGTCTATGTCCTAGTAACTTATTATATATGTGTGTGTGTATACTGACTACCTATATATATATACACTAATATACAATACTGAGGGCCCTACCAAATTCACAACCCTGAAAAACATGTAACAGACTGTGAAATCAGACCTCCCATGTGAAATGTAGCTATTGGAGGTGAGAGGAAGGGGCAGGGCTAGGGGCACCACAGCCGGGTGCTCCTACTGTTTCCCAGGCTCCAGCTGCCAGTTCACCAGGTTGGGGAGGGATGGGACTTTCTCTTCCCCTGCATGGCCGCTCTTGCGGTGGGAGATCAGACCTATCTCCAGGGACCTTCCCCTCCCCTTCACTTCCCCTGAAGGCAGCACAGAAATGAGGGTGGCAATCACGCCATTCCCCCCACAACAGCTTTGTGACCCACATGACCTCCTTTTGGGTCCAGACCCCCATGGTTGCACCATGAAATTGACCAATTTTAAAATCCTCTGGCCATGAAATTGACTAAAACGGACCATGAATTTGGTAGGGCCCTAACAATATGATACCAAAAAGCAGTATCACTCCCAATGAGTGGTGTCTTCCTCCTGTTGTCGTCAGGACAGGAACCTTGTCTTCATATTTGCCTGTAAAGTGCCACACACAATTATGGCACTATATAAGTAAATTATACTTAATACTGATGAAAACATTGGTAAAAACACTCCTGCATGGGAGGAAAGTTGCTTAGACAGGACACTGAGGACCTTTTGAGTGGCTTGTAGGGCAGGTGGAAGGCTCACAACAGTATGCACTCCTCAAGGGAGGGAGGAGAAAAGCCAAAATTTTGTTTTGTTAAACTGTTAAACACACAGACAAATGGTGTTGTTACATAACTAATGTTTAGTACGCCTACCTACCTAGCTGAGGGTTTCCCATAGCAAGCCAAGTAAAATCAAGGGTGACAAAGTCCCTAGTGGACTTCATGGAGTCCCAAGCCCATCTCCCTTTTGGGGTCAAAACTCTGCTTGGAGCAAGGTTTTCTTTGTTATTAATTTCCCCTTCTGGGGGTGGGGTGGGAAGGGCGCAGGGACAAAAGGGGTGGCAGTGTGGGGCTGCCGTTAGGGCCTAAAGGCCTTCCCCAAGGAGGCAGATGGCAGCACTTAGGCCCTGGTTGAGAGCAGCAGCTGGCAGTGTCCTGGGCCGGTCCGGGCGGGGACGTGCAAACAAGCGAAACCCCTCCCCCGCAGGTGGGTGTCTTACAGCCGGCGCTGGGGGAGCCCCGCCCGTGTCAGCAGGAGGCAGAGGGGGGGTTGGGAGGTTTTAACTAGACTGTGGAGTCTGGAGCCCATGGGGCAGCCGGCGCGACTCCTGGGTGGCGCCCCTGGAAAGCCACCGCCTCCTGCGGGCTCTTCGCCATGGGGACGGGCCTCTCGGGCCTCCCAAGGTAGCCTCCTGCACAGCAGACGGCAGTATTGTGATGCGCCCGCCCGCGCGGCTCCGCTCGCGTCAGTGCTAGGATCGAGCCAGACGTTTGACTCGCTGGACGCCCCGGGCCGCCCGCCCGCGCGCACGCACGGAGCATAGCGGCGGGGCGCGCGCGCACGCGCGGGCGGGCTCCTCCCCCGTGGCCGGGGCTGAGGGGCGGGCGCTCGGCAGCCGTAGGGAGATTTGCGGTCGGACGCTGCGCAGCACGGAGCGGGCAGCACCATGGTGAAGATCGCCTTCAGTTCTCTCTTCGCCCACAAGGACGAGCCCAAGAAGGATGCGGCCGAGGCACTGGTAACTGACAAGGTGCGGTACGGGCTCTGCGGGGAGCGAGCCTCCGCCGCCGCCGGGGAGCGACGAGGGGAACCGGGCCGCCGCCATCTTCTCATAACGTCTGTTGGCTGGGGGCTGGGGGCGGATATAGCGCTCTCAGCTAGGGGCTAAAATGGCGGAGGCCGAGGGCGCCCCCTAGGGAGGGGGCTCCTGCCTGCCGGGGGAGGGGGTCATCTGCCCTGGCGCCGTAGGGGGAAGAGGGGCCTCCTTCGGTCCCTGCACGGGGGAGGTGCCAGGTCACCTTCCCCCCAGTCCCACGGCGGGGCGGAGGCTCAGTGGGTTGCCTGCTGAGCTGCTGCCGCGGAGCGGGGCGCTGGTTTCTGCGGTGGCCTTGTGCTGCCCGGGCCACTCCTGCGCTTGCTCGGGGAAGCGCACGGGGAGCGAAAAGGAGGAGGGGAGGGATCCATTTTGTGTGTGTCGGGGGGGAGGGTACGGCAGTGTGTTATTGTTCCTGACTCTAATGGAGGCCGGCCGGGGTGTGCAGGGCCCTCTGCACAGCCACTCTCTGTCCTTTAACCCACTTTCTGTTGTGATGGCGTCACGGATTGCGGGGCACCCCCGGAGGGACCCGCGCTAGCCAGCGTGCGGTGAGCTCCGCGCTTACCCAATGAAAGCTCTGCTGCGCAGCGAGCTCCGGGCTCTGGAGCTAATGGGGGACGGGGCTGACTTATGGAAATGGAATCGCACATGCCCTGCTTTCTGCTCTGTGCCATCCTTCGTGAGCCATGAATCCTCAACAGCTAAGAGTTCGTTGTGTTCCGTCCTCTGCCAGCTCCGAGGTTAGCTTTAAAACCCTCTGCAGGCTCCCAGTAAACAGTGTGTTTTCATGCTGGGGAATGATTACACTTTAATTAACCAGCTGACCTGAGTGTTGATTTCAAACTCTAATATCACTCTTGCATAAGCATCCGTAGTGAAATTGGCAAAGAAAGTATTCTGGAAGGAGTGAGCCAACTAGCTCAAGCAGTTCTGTATATTTTATCTAAATCATGTTGCTGGTCAGAGCCTTTTTGTCACTCAAAATTGATTCTGCCTGAACACGCAACTGCTATTATGAAAGCGTTGTTGATAATTATTAGGAAAGATGGAATTGTTGTAAACTGTCTAGGGTTATGGCAGTGTTTCTCAAACTTTTGTATTGGTGACCACTTCCATGCAGCAAACCTATGAGTGTGCCCCCCCCTATAAATTAAAAACACTTTTTTTTTCTATTTAACACTTATTATTGCTGGAGGCAAAGTGGGGCTTGAGGGTGGAGGCTGACCTCTTGCGACCCCCCCCCATGTAATAACCTTGTGACCCCCTGAGGAGTCACGACCCGTTTGAGAACCCCTGGGTTATGACAGATCTGACTTAAAACTCTTCTTAGAAGGAATTCTTAATTTAAGTAAATCATAGACTATCTGGGTTGGAAGGGACCTCAGGAGGTCATCTAGTCCAACCCCCTGCTCAAAACAGTACAAATCCTCAACTAAATCATCCCAGCCAGGGCTTTGTCAAGCCTGACCTTGAAAACCTCTAAAGTCCCAGGCATGTATTCTCTGGGTTCTCCTGCCTCTCCCCTTATGAGTTATTAATATGGTTTATTCTACTACAGCCATTTAAATATGTGGGAAGACTTTATTTTCTTAAATGATGTACTATAAAGAAAAATTAGTGACTATTTTACACCATGCTTTTGCTTTAGTTAACTGTAGTCTTAATCTCTGGTCATGGAATCATAGAATATCAGGGCTGGAAGGGACCTCAGGAGGTCATCTAGTCCAAACCCCTGCTCAAAGCAGGACCAATCCCCAATTTTTGCCCCAGATCCCCTAAATGGCCCCCTTAAGGATTGAACTCACAACTCTGGGTTTAGCAGGCCAGTGCTCAAACCACTGAGCTATCCCTCCCCTTTATGTAACTGAACTGGCAGCTCTGGAAGGCTAATTTACCACCTGGTAATTGACACAGACACAACAGTTCAGAGGCCGAGTTCCCATCTATCCTGGGCTTTTGCATACCTTAAGGGGAAAATACATATTAGTTTTGAGATGGGGACTATATATGCAGCATATTCAACTGGTTCTCTTCTATTTGGCCAAAAAATGTCTGAGGCCTCTTGTCCTTAAATAGCATTGTGGATGTATATTTTTAATTATTCTCTTTAAGTTTCTTAACACTGTTCTAAATATGTTGCAGTGTACACATGTTTGTACGTTATACCATTCCCTTTTTCTTGCTTTCTCATTAAAATAAGATGAGCAGCTTGTGATCTGAGCTACTTTGTGTTGACTATATTATGCCTTTCAAAATACTCTCTCAAACTAAACAACATACACCTATAGACAAACTCCTCACTCCAACTCCAGTGCAATGTAGCAGATGGTCTTAGAAGTGGGTGAATGCCACGCAGATCCACTTAAATAAATGTGAATTCAGTTTGCATCCGATGAAGAGAGCTGTGGCTCATGAAAGCTTATGCTCAAATAAATTTGTTAGCCTCGAAGGTGCCACAAGTACTCCTTTTCAGTTTGGCTATGTTCACTTCCTTTTTGCATTTGCTGTAATAGTAGAAAGCAGACCAGTTTACTGGCTCAAATGTTTGCTGAAACAACACATTTAAGAGAGCACCAGAAAATACTTGTGCAGAAAACATTTTAACTCAGATGTCTGAGTTCACACATAGAATCTTTTTCTAAGATAAATAAGCAAACAGTAAATGTCTCATGACTTGTGTATAGTCATCACAAACCAACATAGCTAGTTTTTTTTTCTATTATTACATATTGAAATAAGCACCCATCTAGACTGCCTAGGGTACCTTAACAATTAGAACCACAGTATTCAGTAGCACACCAACATTTGATTTAAGTAATCATATGAAAGGGTGTGGAACTATTTAATGGTATATATGAATATGTGGTACAGTATCATGGTAAAGATAGGCAGGGGCAAAATAAAACTGGCCTCAATAAATGTAAGCTTTCTTTAAAAGATGTTTTATTTTGTGCCACAATCTAAATGTCTGTATGGTGAAACAAATTCTCACTACACGTAAAATTAAATAATTTTGAAATATTTTTCAACCTTCTTTTAGTGGTTGTTTTGCTGCAGCAATACTTGTTATACTAGTAGTATGCTGGCAGAATGTCAGATAAACCAGCATCTGACGGGGTTCAGTGACAGGACAAAATTGTGTCAAACTGATTACTTAAGAGCTAGTTCCTTCGGTGTATGAATTTTCAAGTTTGCGCTTGGCAAAACATGGATATCCCTTTTTAAAAAGGAATTCAGTAATATTCTTACAAAAGGCCCTTTTAATGTGCTTATTTGGTTGTATTCCAGTAGTGCCTAGGGGGCCTAATCATGAATTAGGGTCCCACTGTGCTAGGCACAAACAATAGATGGTCCCCTATCCCAAAGAACTTGGAATCTAAGTCAATAGTAATCTCTTCCCGCACTAACGTGCCATGGGAAATCCAACCTATAGTTGTTTTCTGATGTTTTGATGCTCCGTTTGCTCAGCATATGTTGTTAGATGTGCGTGCAGTTGACAAACACAGCTAAGGGACACACAGTCAGTTTAAGATCTCACTTATGTGAGACGTTAGCTTCCATTTCTTAAAAGTAACACCTTCTGTTACTTCTTTGAATAAAAATATTTTTCTCATTTGTTGTGTATTTGGCAACGCTCTAGAGCCCACCTCCTGGTTGTATGGGCTTCTTACACAGCAACAGAGGGAGATGATCACTTAAAGAATTTGAAAAGGTTATTGTAAAACTACAAAAACTAGCGTGGGACTGGGGGTAATAGGATGACACGGAGATATTTACATAGCATCTGGTGGGCTTTGTTTTGATGTACTCTCTGCTGTCAGGAATAACTTCTGAAAGGAGGTCATTGTATTAAGCACAAAAACAAGCTTTTAAAAAAGCTTTGATGAAATAAAAATGATCTTATCTGCTGCTTTAAAAGTTTTTGAAACTTGCTGGAGTTTCTTCAGTTAAGATATTTGAAGAAGGGTAGTTAGTTATACACATGATGCTAAATAGACAGTTGAGAGGTGGCCTCAAGCTTATTAAATCTGCTGTATCTTGAACGTAAGACATAGCAATGAAATTTTGCATATTTTTAAAATTGACTTAGAAAATGGCTACTCTTTAGGTTAGTGGAAATGTGTGTGTGTGGGGGGGGTTCTTCTATACTTTGAGTCTACTGTGAGCAATTATTTATTTTGAATAGTCTGAAATGGGACAGTTTAATTTCATAGGACATGCCATTTTTGCCAAATTCTGGCCAAGAATGGGCCAGAATTCCAAAGGATTTTTGAAATTGCTATTAGCTATATTTTTACACCAACAACACTTTCATTGTACTTGTTTTTTAAAAAGTTGGTCTTAAGTTGCCATGGCATCATACCAGGAAAACCTTTCTCAGATAGAGCTCTTTTTCCCCAAGAGACAAAGTGACACCCCGTGTGGATCACAAGTCAAGCTTGAGCACTTAGACAGGTAGCAGAAGAACGATGACTGTAAATTCCAGGCAACTAAATTGTGTCAAATCTTTCATTCCTTTTTCTATAAAGGATCCAGAAATTGCAACACATGGAAATGAAAATTCATCTGGAAGATGTTTATTGACCCTTTTGGGTCTTGCGTTCATCTTAGCAGGGGTTGTAGTTGGTGGAGCCTGCATCTACAAGTACTTCATGCCTAAGGTAATGTGAATATTTATTTGTTTTGTTCAGAATAAATGTTTGGTTTTGTTAACTTTCCTATTTTGACAACCCCAAAATCAAAATATTAACTAATTGTAAGCAATAGATTTATTACAGGATTTCTGTCATGGTATTGATAAAAAATTCAGGCTTAACAACTGAAATGTGTTACAGGCCTTGACCCTTGAAGCTTGGATGGAAAAGAACTAAACTAAACTACAAACTAAACTTCTGATTTAGTGTTAGATTAAAATTTAAAAATAAAGTGCAACACCAAAAAATAACACAGCTGGCTTTTTTTGTTTTTAGCATAAGGTGTACCGTGGGGAAATGTGTTACTTTGAAAATGAAAATCAGGATCGTGCTATAGAACCGTACTTCCTGCCCATTGCAGAAGAAGCTGATATTCGGGAAGATGATAACATAGCAATCATTGATGTTCCAGTTCCAAAGTTCTCAGATAGTGACCCAGCAGCTATTGTCCATGATTTTGACAGGGTGAGTTTAAAAGGGGCGTTTTAGTGCTTTTAAAAAATGGATGGCTTTTACTACTGATGTGTCCTCTGGGTGATAGATTTAAATGTCAGCTTTCTGTGACTTTGTTTTTCAGTGTGGCACCAACAATTATGCATCTCACACTTCTAGTAATGAAATGTCTGTTGATAATCTGTCTCTTTGTGTTAACAAAGCTTACTAGTCTAGATGTAAACTCTAGCTACACTACTCTCTCTTAAAACTGGAAGTCTTTTCAACCATAAATTAAATGAAACCGGTTCATTTAACAGAATGGATCCATCAGTTGGTGTGTGATTTGACAGTGTTGCCCATGATAGATTTCGTAACTCCTGGGAATGAATTGTGCAATTTGAACTGGGGAAAGGAATGAGAGTTTTGAACCTGAATTGGGACAGGAGAGTAAAAATTGCCAATAAAAATAAAATCTTTCGTACAAGATCTTTTTTAGTTGCATACTACAGTAAAATGCAAACTGAGGGAAGGCCCATACAGCAAAACAAATATCAACTTCTATTTATTTTGTGGGTGTGGCAGAAAGGAAGTTTCTGACAAACTCCTATTTTAAATGTATTTAAAAGTAGTTGAAAACAAGGAACTGACAGCATTGTTGGGCTAGTCATATATGACGTCCGAGAGCCAGAATTCGGTGGGGTGGGCTGGGGTGGGGTGTAAAAACATTGCTGCAAAAGTAACCAAAACTTATATTTAACCTCAAATATAAAGATCACTTAGAGATGAAAGTCTCTTTTTCAAAAAACATAACAAAATAAGCCTAGGTACTTAGTTTGAGAACAACCGCCCTCAAAGTTTGTATCCTAGTCAGTCTTCTCCAAAACTGGTAGTCTTGTCAGCTATTCAGACATCAATCAAAATTGGCATTTTTGAAAATTAACCCTAATTTTGCAAGGATAGGGTGTGGGAAATAAAGACCTCCTAAGAAGGAAAGCAACTCTGAGAGTATTACACTAAATTGTAGGCATTTTCAAATATTTTTCTCAAGGTGGATTTCAGAAGTTAAAAACAACAACAAACATTAAATTGCTTTTCAGAAGTGTATACTGAAGTTTGTTTTTATCTTTGGACAGTCCAAGACTTCTACAGATTAAATTTCAATTTATTTTGGGGAGGGCATCTCTGGAATGGAAACTGGTGTGCGTGTCTTTTTTTTCAAAGTCTACTGCCTACATATAAAATAAACGGAACATCAAAATGTGTATTCTTCTTAATGTTTAACATTTCAAGTTTCTGCTGACTCCTTTTTACTTCTTGTTTTCTTCACCCTCCTGTATGCCCTTTGTGTACTTTTCTTTTTCCTAAGTTGTGTTCTTGCCACACTCCTCCCCACATGTAGAGCATGTGCATGCTTCTGCCTATCTACCCGCAGTTATTCATTGCTGTAAGGCAATTCTTTTTAAAAACCTTCCCTTAGTTTTCCTTGGCTGTGAAGCTATAAATCAGCCCCTGCTCACTGGAAACAATGTATTTCCAGAGTCCTGAAGCAGAAATCACTTGTGCTGGAGAGTAATGAAGCCTTTTTCCTTCCTTGCTATAATTTGAAATGTCATTTTAACTGACAATTTGGTTAACTTTGTTCTCTCCCCCTCTTTAATCCCATGAAGTTAGCAGCTATTGGCTGCTAAAATCATGTTAGGGTTGGGGAGGGAAGGAGAAAGATAATCAGAATGATGTGGGTGTTTTAAAGATGTTTCATGACCTGCTAGGTTTAGCAGGCCAGTTTAGTGCTTTCAAGCCAAACACTTTTTCCAAGAACTGGCTATAAAAAGGACTTTCTGATAATATGAGACAGTTTGCCTCTTCTGTCTGGATTTGAGGGAGTCTTTCGTGGTCATATGTCAAAAGAGAGACTGAAAAAGGCTACAACTGGGGTTTCTGTGTAATGATTGAAGTCTACCTGGACTACTGCTGAACCTTTATTGAGTGCAAAAAACTCATGTTGAAATGTCTAGGGAATTACTACTTACTAAAAACTTCTAACCAGTACTGAAACTCTCACTATTGTTTATGTATAAACATATCACGTCGATAAACAGAAATTACTTTGAGTACTAAGAGTTGGCATCTACAGTTGTTAAGGATAGATTTTGTTTTAAAATTAATTAATTTGACAGAACCTTGCCATCAGTTGAAGAGACTAAGTGGGTTATGGTAACTTTTTAGTGAGGTTCTGCAAAGTATTTTGCTAAATTATAGTTCATACAAATACTCTAGTCTAGCTGTTTATATTGGTACCTACACTGTCCCATGAGGATTCTCTATCTTCTAGCTAAAGGAAAGTAACTGGAAAGTGACAAATCGGGGTATAAACAACGAGGAGTCCTTGTGGCATCTTAGAGACTAACCAATTTATTTGGACCTAAGCTTTCATGGGCTAAAACCCACTTCATCAGATGCATGGAGTAAAAAATACATTAAGCAGTATAAATATTACAGCACATGAAAAGGTGGGAGTTGTCTTACCAAGTGCGGAGTCAGTGCTAATGAGGCCAATTCAATTAAGGTGGAAGTGGCCTATTCTCAACAGTTGACAAGAAGGGGCGAATATCAAGAGGGAAAATTACTTTTGTAGTGCTAACAACACCAGTGCAATCAAGGTAGACGTCGCCCATTTCTAATAGTTGACAGAAGGTGTGAGTATCAGCAAAGGGAAAATTACTTTTTGTAGTGACCCATCCACTCACAGTTTTTATTCAGGCCTAATTTGATGGTGGAAACAAATCAGGGTATGTTTCCAGAAAACGAAGCCAGAACATGGATGTGCTATTTCTGACTAGAGCCACATTTTAATTAGGCTCCTATAATTACAAGAACACATCTTCAGTATACCAAGCCCTCTCCCTGATCTTAACTGTCATAAGACGCTCCTTCCTGGTAGGAAGACTCTCTTTTTAAAGTGTGAAGGCTTATACTCCTGTGGTCTGTCTTTCACTTCCTGTTAGGAGGCTCTCTTACATGAGGTAGAGCTATAGCCTTTTTCATGTTCTGAAATTACCTACAATAAACTTTTTTAGTTCCATCACTGCTTGGTCTAAAAACACTAATTCTGTTTTGATGTTTTTAATATTCACTGATCTTGGCCTGCTAGATACTTAATGAGTTTTCTGTTTCACAGAATCTAACAGTCAGTTGTAATCATCACAAATTAAGATAACACTTGATTTATTGAGAACAGCTGTTAAACTTCTTTCCATAATAGCTTCTGACTGCTTATCTTGACTTACAACTGGGTAACTGCTATGTGATCCCTCTGAACACATCCATTGTTATGCCACCAAGGAATCTGATGGACCTGTTCGCAAAACTGGCGGTATGTACAACTTCTTCACTACTTTGAATAGTACAGCTAAAGGAGTGATTTCTGTTAATAAATGAAACTGCAAGTAAAAAGTTCAGTAGCAGTAACCTTCCCACAGTGAACCTTTTTGCTCCCAAGGGTATTGTTCCTCAGTTTACTGTGTTGTTGTGGTAAAGCTTCATGGTCATTCTTCAGTACATTTTGTACCTGTTGAATGGATAACGAACTTGAGTTTTCAGGATAGCAGCTCTCAAATACTAAATATCTAGCTTTAAGAAAGCTAAGTACTTGCAAATAACATCAGATCTGGCCACTATAGAGAAACGTGCAGCAGACTTCGGAAAACAAAGGTCTGAAACTGGAAGTTACTGTAACGGTTTGTGTTGATTTAATAGAAACTTTCACAAACGAACTGTATTCACTTGCTTTTCCAATTGTTGACCTCAAATCATTCACTGAAGTGCAGTTGTGAGCTTTTCATGATACAGACTCAAAACCAGTGGCTTGGCAACTGTGTTAAATTCTGAAACGAATTGGCACTTTCAAGGGACTCTACTTTTTTAGAGTTAAAGTAAGAAAAACCTGATTTCTGCCTCCAAATGAGATTTTAAAACTGGGTTTAAACTTTCCCTGGCTGTGTTTTTATGTAAATATTTTTTCAAAGCCAATGTAGACTTGTGAAATTTGATCCATACATCAGCTTGTTAAATAGAGCAATATAATAATTTTTTCAGCTTCATGAAGACATTAAACTTTCAAATAACCTAAATTTTATATTTTAAAAATAAACATTTTTAACCCAAATAGGAAACCGCTATTAAATTATTTGACTTGATCTTAAATTTTAGGGTTTTTTACTCAAAACCCGGAAAATCAGATGGCCTTTTGAAGCTATTTAAAATGTCTAATATTATTCAGGCTCCCTATAAACTAAAGAAAAACAATGTGTCATGACAAAGCATTGAAATCAATAGAATGTAGTTATCACCTCTGACCAGAGAGAGAAACTTAAAGGCTGATGGTTTCTAGGTTTAGTTACTTGTGTTGGAAACAGTAATAACTTTTGCTAGGAAGTGCCCATATCTCCATGGAAGCAGACTTTATAATCCTTTCCTATGTAGTGTATGTGCGTTTTGAAAAGGAGCAGGCATGATAGTGTCTAATAGCTGGACTGAAGGAAGAGGATCATGTTTTAGCATAATGCACACTGCTCTTCCTGTCATGAACATTACAATACCATATGGCCGTGTTTCCCAAACTTGAGATGCCACTTGTTCAGGGAATGCCCCTGGTGGGCCAGGCTGGTTTATTTACCAGCTGCGTCCGCAGGTTTGGCCGATTGCGGCTCCCACTGGCTGCGGTTTGCTGCCGCAGGCCAATGGGGGCTGCGAGAAGTGGCGCGGGCCAAGGGACATACCGGCCTCCAGTTCCCGCAGCCCCCATTGGCCTGCAGCAGTGAACCGCAGCCAATGGGAGCCGCGATCGGCCGAACCTGCGGACGCAGCTGGTAAACAAACTGGCCTCGCCCACAAGGGGCTTTCCCTGAACAAGCGGCGTCCCAAGTTTGGGAAACGCTGCCATATGCTATAGTGGGCATATAACTTAGCTGCAGAAGCAGCAGCTTCATATTTGCCATATCATTAATATATTTGGAAGCAGTAGCTGCACTCTTTTGTGTATTCATGGTATTGGAGATAGTTTGTCTCAAATAAGGAAAATACAGAAATACCACTTTTGAATAATGGTGTGGGTTGAACCGTCTACTTAGACTGTTAGACTTAGTTTCTTCATGTGCTTGGGTTGTGTGAGTGGGTCTAGCTTCTAACTACAACTTTCCTAATATAGTACCCCAACTAGCTTGAATTAACAACTTGAGTGTGACCCTTAATGATGGGTAGGTAATGTTAAAAATGAATCCTGTTTTTGTTTTAACAATCTAATGAATAGAATCCAGTAGGGGGTCAAAATTATTTGTTCTTTATGTGACCATCCAGAAGACTAGTATCATTTCTTAACAGAACATTAATGAAGGAATTTAACTCCCTTGTCTCTTTTTTTAGACTGGTTCTTACTTGCCTCAGACTTATCTAGTTCGTGAAGAAATGGTGGTAACAGAAGAGATAGATAATGTGTCTGATTTGGGCATCTTCATTTACCAGCTTTGTGTAGGAAAAGAGACCTTCAGACTGCAGCGCAGAGATCAGAGAGCAGGTGAGTGTTTCCTCCAGTATAGGAAATATACTACCTCAATAGAGAGGGGAAATAGGAAACTTAAAAACTTCACTCCAGAAACAGGTAGGTGTTAATGCCCCACTAAACAGGCTGTTACTACATTTACCTACATTTTTATTTTAATGTAGTTTTGTTCCCCTTTAGATTCTTTGAGTCTGAAGTTTTTCTTCTCCAATGAGACATAGTCTGTTACCACTTACAAAACCCTCAATGATATGCCCAAAACACCAACCTGAACATGAGTTCACTTTCACTCTTTCATTTTAGTCAGAGATCCTGAGGCAGTAGAGTATTTGGAATTTGAGAAACTAGCTTACATAGAAATCTTGTTTGCAGGGTGGGAGGGACATCCAAATTTAACAGTCTAATGTTTGGATAATTGGTCTTCAGATAATAGGGGATTTCTCTTTTGTTAGTTACACTTTGACAAATTGTAGAATCTATTTTAGAGACTTGTCACAAGTAATGAATGCTTCAAGGGAATCTTAAAAGGAAATCTGAAATACAGATGCCTAGATCTGCATGTGATACCAGTTGACTTCCATACTTTAATCCTAAACATTTTGATGCAAGATTCAGTTGCAACCAAACTAGAGCACTGCCGTCTATTCAGGAATGAATTTGGTATCTAAGCTGTTTGAAGTGGGTCTGAATACACAAATATGCTGCCAAAGCACTAATGATACTGGGTGCTTTCTGGTCATCACAGCTCTTTAAAGCACTCAAGGGGTTTTTTAATACTAGAATTACTATATGTAGTTCACAGTATAGTTAAGTCAGTCCCTTCTAGAAATTAAACCTTTGCACCCTAATATATAGGGGTTGGTTAGAGGAAGTTGTTTGCCAAACAGTGAACTTATCCAATTTTTCCTCCCTGCTCCATTTTACAGTGATCCTCTTGTCTGAAGTGATCTGACAGGATATTCCTTCACAGCCTGTTGGTGCTGCTCTTTGTATCTTAAATTTGCAGGTGCTTCTAGCCTGGGCTTGCCAGGGAGTAAGGGACCCTACTAATATGTGTTGCTGTTAGGTAACTGGTACAACTCCACCTTGTTGTCTCAACATTTATGTTTGTCTTCTTCCTGCTCCAAGTCCACTGGGATTTTGCGTGTTTCTTTGATATTGTTGCTATTGGCAGAATAAAACTTTGAAGGATCAGTTGATTTGTTTCTGCTTCTGTCCTTCTGACAGCAGAAGGAAAGCTTTATATGCAGAAACGGGAATCTCTCAGTCCCCCTGAGAAGCTTACAGCAGTGATGGGGAGGTTGTTAATATTAACTCCCTTGGTAGGCACACACTTTTTTAGTTCAGATAGATGCTCTGTTCCAGTGAGTGGTCAATGCACTGAAGACTTTGAGTAGTGTACTGCACTTGCCTAAATACGAAGTAATCAGTTTTCGTTTGCTCTAGTGTATTAACCCTCCATTTGTGTCGCTGACATGCCATGCTAATGCATTAGCACTGACAGCAGGAGTTCAAATCTGCCATTTACATGAGTTGGTTGCATGTAAGTCTTTTCCAGGAAATAAGTAAAAATACTTTACTGTGCTACAGTATGTTGCTGTAATTAAGCTGGTTTTTCCTTACTTTTTTTTTTAAGGGTTTTGTAATTATACTGTTAAGAGAATTGCTTGGGTCTAAAACTCTCCATAGAAAATCCTAGTCTAAAAGATAACGTCTTGTTGTTAATATGTAGTAAATGCCTCCATGCCCTATATAACCAGTGACACTAAAACTAATGAAAATTAAATGGTATATTCTCATTTTGCAAACACTTCTTCTGGGGGAAGAGAAGAGAAAATAATAGGAAGAAGCAACTGATATTGGGGGTTGAAGACACGGTACCTTTAGTTAGAGGTCCTCGACTCTGGAGTTTAGGTCCTGGATTTTTTCACCACTAATTTGTGGACACTTCAGACAAGTTGTTTCACAGGAAGTTTTTTGGGCTTGAGGAACGGAGGAGGAAGGACAGTAGTGTGTGGCTTGTTTTTGTTTACATATAGTAAATTTTTAACTGAGACTCCATATACAGGGCAGTTTTATACCCAGTTACAGAACTTCCCACTGACTTTATAAACTTTCTACAAAAGCTATTTTAAAATAAGCAAAAATTCAAAGTGAAGGCCAACATTCTCGTCAGTTTATCATAACGGTATAAACAGACTGTTAGCAGCTAGTACTCTGGAAGACAGGTTTCAGAGTAGCAGCCGTGTTAGTCTGTATTCGCAAAAAGAAAAGGAGTACTTGTGGCACCTTAGAGACTAACAAATTTATTTGAGCATAAGCTTTCGTGAGCTACAGCTCACTTCATCGAAAGCTTATGCTCAAATAAATTTGTTAGTCTCTAAGGTGCCACAAGTCCTCCTTTTCCTTTTACTCTGGAAGAGACTTTCATTGGAAACTCTTGTTCTGTGTGTTCTGTTAAACTACCCAAACAAAACTAATGCTAATAGTCAGCTTCTTAGCTTTCATGAGGTATCTGACATCACTGAGAGCACTCCACTAGGGAGACTGAATTTGATCAACTATTGATTTGATTACAGTATTGCCATTTTGATTACAGTATTTCGCTTGTCCTTCTGTCTAATCTGTTTTCATTAAAACCATGTGGGAGAATCAATTTGGGTATGGTAGGGGTCTGCTGTTGACATGTACTGAGAATGCTCTGTCAAGTTTTTAATGTATTTTATCCATTGTCAGCAGAGTGGCAATCAAAGGCACGATCCTATTCCTATCAGTGAGTGGAAGCTTTGCTATTTATTTCACTGGGACCAAGATTGGGCCCCAGAGGAGTAATCTCTGCAGTGTTTTGGTGTAAATGTATCTGGCTGAACAAAAAAGGATTGTGTTCTGCAACACCCTCTCTGCAGCCACTTCAGAATTCTCTGAACCCAGGAAGGGAAAGAGGAGCCAAAGGGAGAATTGCCTTCAGGAGCTTGGAAGAGTTAAGAGGGGCTATGGTTTAGTAGAGAGGCTTATGGCATGACCTTAATTAGTTTAGAGACAGCAGCTTACAGTCTGAAGGGCTGAGGGGATACTGGAAACAGAAATTTACGTTTATTCATAAGAGGTATTTAACACCTGTTTGTTTAGCCCTAGTATAATGTCAACACAGCTCTGAGAATAGTGGGCTTTTTATAATTAAACAGTAGAAACAAGCTTGTGTACAATCATAATGATAACTAACTGAATGACCTTACACTATTATTGAGTACTTAATTGTATATTGCCAGACTAAGCTAGTCATAAACTGCTATCTCCTAAGAAATATACAGATACTTCTAGATATCTGTAAAGAACACAATGTTGTAGCTTGCTAATTTACTTTTTTCTTCCACCCAGGTCTCCAGAAGCGCTCAGCTGAGAACTGTCGTACAATCAGACACTTTGAAAATTCTTTTGTCATTGAAACAAAGATCTGTCAACAGTGAAAGACACTGGATGGAAAGTGACTATTTCACATCTTCATTAAGAAGTCTGAGCTTTACAGTTTGACTTCTAAATTAAAATGTGCAGTGATAATCAAAAGCCTTATTATGCATCTCCTGTGTATTGCTTCTATTACAAAACCACCATTTCAGCTTTCTTTGATCCTTGGTATAACAGTATTTTTAGTTGTCTTACGTAAAACTGAAATTTGAGATGTTTAGAAGAAATGTTTTATCAACTTATCCGTTGACTGCGTCTGACTTAGAATTTTTCTGGGAAAGGCAGAAAAAAAAATACATATATAATGTTAATTGATTCCTTGGTTGGAATTACTCCTGGGGGAATTCTGCACCACTGTGCATGTACAGAATTTATGTCCCCTGCAGAGTTCTTTGTTTCCCACAGAAAAATGACTTTGACGGGGATGCAAAGGGAAGCCACAAAAATGGTCATGCAACCCTCCCGAGCAGTACGTTTTGGCTGCCCAGGGCAGCCGGCTGTGAGGCAGGACTGGGGAAGACCCGGCTGATGGCTCCTACCATCATGCCAGGCTCAGCTGCTAGTCCCGGCTGGGCTGGGGAGGACGGGACTTCCTCTTCCCCTGCACTGCATCCAGGGCTGTGTCAGACCCACCCCCAGATTTCTCCCCTGGCTGTAGGAAGCTCTACAAATTCCCATCCACCCAATCCCTGTGCATCCAGAACCCCTCACACCCAGACCCTCCCACCAAGCCTCACCCCTCTACCCCCCCAGACAAGCCCCATTCCCCCTGCACCTCCTCAATGAGCCGGATCCCCACCCTACCAAGCCCCAGTCAGCTGCACCTGGCTTGCAACCCCACTGAGCCCCACTCCCCCGGCATCTGGACCCCCCACATACACCCAGACCCTCTGCTGAGCTCTATCCCGCCCCGCCCACACTCGGACCTCCTCTGCTGAGCCCCAACCATCTTCACTACCGGCACCAGATTGCCCCACACAGAACCCTCTCAACCCACACGTGGATTCCCTCCACACTTGGATCCTGCCTTTCTGAGCCTGCCTTCCCACACCTGGTGCATGGAGGGGCAGGGCTCTGGGGTATTTCTTGGGCAGGCCCGATCCTTGTACTGTGTCAGGGTTGTGTGCAACCTCACCACTGAGTCTGTGTCCCGGGAAAGGGGAGCTGCACAGTGATCTCCCACCTCTGTGCAGCCAGTGGCCTGTGCTCCCCAGTGCCATGCTGGAGCCTCCACATTCATTTGATAAAGTGTGCACAGAATTTTTAATTTTTTGGCGCTTAATTTTTGGCCCAGAATGCCCTCAGGAATAGCCAGAATCACCTTATACACCTTTTGATTTTTCACAGAATGATTAAATTAATACATTAATAATCTGTGGTTTGCACATTTAGTGTAGTTCTATAGAATTGCTCTGCACTCCATTTTCTGGTTTTAAAAAAACAAACAACCTACACCTTTCAACATTTATCGTTAAAGGTTTTGTTTTAACTTCCACGTGTGAAGCATGTAAAATCTAACCTCCGTGATTATAAACCTCTAACATTGCTTTTTTCATTTTGTGCAATTACTGTATTGAACTCGTATGTATATTTGGAATCTTCCCTAAGTTTACATTTAAATTCTTTATACTTTTGTTTGATTTTTGTGGTATTTAGTTGTCATAGATTTAGTTGCTGTTAATCTCTAAAGTTTGTGTCAGTATTTTGGTTATAAATTGGTTTATCTTGTAACTGCCTGTTTCATTAAACCTCTCTTGGTATGGCCCACTTGTGGATGTGACTGTAGCTGTAAATTTAACTACTTTGGCCTGTACAACGAACTTTTTAGATCAGAACTTTTTATGAGCAAGTAGCATTATTACTGCGGTCAGAGTATTGTTCCCTGTTGAGAACTACAGTATAAAGATGGTAAAGAGTTGCTAGAGTGCTGCAGATTCAAAACTTGAGTCTGTTTTAATAAGGAACTTTATATTGGCATTATTCCTGCAACCTTATAATAAATGTTTCTCTAGAACTGTGGTGTTGGTCTTAATTGACACTTAAAGTGGCAGGTGCATATACCATAATGAATGGAGGAGGGGAGATTGTGTACTGTCATAGCATAGTTCTTAAAAAATAGTAAATATGGATGCAGCCTTATGAGGGAAACTCCTTTATCTGCCTAATCATTCTTGTTCCTCTAATGTACTAGCGGGTATCTAAACTCAATTTGGAAGTTTCCAGCTCTTTACAAGTTGTTTTTTCCCTTAACGGTGGGAGTTTTTGTTTTGTTTTTGGAGGATGTAGGGGAAAAGGGATTCTCGTGTTTTTTTTGTGAGTGTCCTGCAATTTGGTAGTGAAGAAAACTTTTTGGGCTGTAGTTGACAGCTCCAGTGCAACTAAAGCATAAAAATCCTTTCACAAGGCTCTTTGAGAGCACGGTTAATAAAGATACTTTGTGTTTTTTTTTTTAAATTTTGGTGGGTACATTGAGACATACAAAGTTGTATTCAGTAATTAAATTCCACGCTCCTCAAGGAGGCAATGCAGATACTACTGAAATTAACAGCACTGTAAATGAGTACTGATGATGATCATGTAGACTTTGTGGCTTCACTTTGAATTGAGGTGTGTGTGCGCAAAATAGAAAGTTCACTTAACTGTTACTGCAGAATTTCATTTTTATCTTGTAAATAGAAACTTTTGCTAACAGTTGAGCATGAGGATCAGCATGACATCCCTGAATTTTTACGATAAGTTTAACAAAACCCAAAACTATAAATGAGGTTACATGTGCCACAACATATGACACTCCGCTGTACAGAAATAGGTAAGAGCCACTTTATGGTGGCTTTGTAACATGTCCCTGTCACTCAATCCTGGTATTGACTTCTTTAGAAAAAGATTTACCAACACGGATTAATGTAGCACACCTCTATAACACTTAACATTTCACTTTGTTTGGAAAATGAAATGGTTACCGTTCTGCAGACAGAGCCGTGATTCAGAAAATCATTCTGAATTGGTGGTTCCAGTATGCACTTTTTTAGGATGGATGTTGCAGCCATATATCAGCAGAATTTAGCTGCTGCTTAAGCAATGGAATAACTGATCCTGGGGAGGAGGGGGATAACTTTCTGCAGGGACAGGATATGAGTTGCGCAGACTTATCCGTCAGGTTCCATGGAGCTGGCGATAATGGTCCTATCACTCACGGGGTGGTGACAAGGGGCAGTGTGACTTTGCCCAGATTGACTCGCCCAGAGTTGAGGTGTAAGTATCACTGTCTCTGGAAGCAGAGGCTATGCTACAGAGTCACAGCTCTCTTCTGTAGGTGTTAGGTCTTCATATCATTCAATAGGGAGGAGGAGTATGTGGCCCTGTATGGCTCTAATATTCAGTAAAGCACTAAGCACGTGCTTCAAAGTGCTTTGAAGAGAGAGAGAAGATCATGCTCTTACTTCAAGCATGTGCTTTGCTGAAGTGGGGAAGAAGTCTGTAGGACAGAGTCAAAGATGGGGATTCTATCTGTCCCTAGCCCAGACTTGCTAGGGCAAGTCACTCCATCTCTGCCTTGATTTTTCCTCATGGGTAGGGAGGTGGGGGACTAATACCTCTGAGGATGGATTTTCTTAATTTGCTTTGACATGCTTGTGTGGAAGGACTTAGAAATGTAGAGGAGTAGATTGCTGTTTCACCAAGATCTTGATCAGAGAGCAAGATGAGACTTAAGTACTGCGTAACCACTTGACTGGTAATAAACATTCTAAGTACATTTCCAATAACCCACATTCTTCCAACTCGGCTTTAAGCAGCATGGAAACCCACAGCTGTTGTACAATGCTAGCACTGAATCCATTAGACTTGTCACCTAACCTAGAATGCATAGCAAGGATAATAGAGCAGATGAGTGTCTCAAAATACCCAGGCAGCTAAAGCTTCCTCATGCTTGGAATGGAGCGAACTACAGATCTAGGCAGACTTCTTGCTTTGTTTTGGGCTGCCAGCTTGCAGCACGTGCAGTGCAGCAGATGGTGCTGATAGTCCTCTACAGCCAAGTTTCTGGATTATCTAACCCTTTTTTTGTTTTGCAGGATTAATTGACATTTCAGCTGTACACTTCAAAATGAGGCTGGAGCTTATCCTAATGTTTGACAACTCTTGCCCATTTTGTATTGACAGGTATAAGGATGGGAGGATTAGGCTCTATGGCCTAGATTCACAAAGGGAATTTAATGTCTAACTGTCCCTTGAGGTGCCTCAATTCAGCATCAAGCCACTGGCATTCACAAAACCACTGCTCAGCTGCTAGCTAACCCTGTAGGCGCCTTAAGCACCTAATTTTCCATTGGTAAAATCCCCTAGGCACTTCAGTTTCTGGTGGTGGGCAGGGACAAAGCCACCTAGGAGGAATGCCTAGTTTGTGAACCCCCTAACCTCCCCTGTGGGGCCTGATCTGGTAGGTGTACTCAGAGCCCACCTAACCCCAACCCCGAAGACAGGAAGGGGGGGTGGCCTCATTACCAACAACTCAGGCGGTTAGAGCACTCTCCTGTTGAACTGTTCCATTTTGTGTGAAATACTTAATAGTCACTGAGCCAGAGAGAGAGACTATACCCAATGGGTAGTACAGGGATTGAGGTCTCTGCTCTGAATTGGGCAGAGGAGAGATTTTAAGCAGGGTCTCCTACATCCTGGGTGAACGTTTGAACTATAAGGTACTGGCAGCACCCCAATTTTCTTGGGAAGACTGACCTTGAGTAAGACTCCTAACTCCAGGAGAGGATTGCCAGCTAGGCATCCCAAGTGACAATAGATGTCTAACACTGTTTGAGGTGTGGGCTTAAGGCACTTCCTGTTGGCTAGCTTAGGGGATTTCTCAGTTATTTTGTTGGCTTTTGGGAATCCCTGTTTTAGGTACCAGTGCTCCCCTTGCATTGTACCAGGAGCTTGGGCACCTAACCTTGGGTTCAGAGTGTCAATGTGGGTGAGGTAATATCTTCTATTGAACCAACTTCTGCCAGTGAAAGAGAGAAGCTTTCAAGCTACACAGACCTCTTCTTTAGGTCTGAGCTTGCGTAGAAGAGCTCTACAGCTTGAAACTTGTCTCACTAGCAGAAGTTGGTCCAATAAAAGATATTACCTCACCTCTCTTGTCTCTCTGGTCTCCTGGGACCAGCACAGCTACAACAACACAGCAAATAACTGGGAATTGTCAGTTCCACTAGGTGACAAAAAGCCTAAATGTTAGGCACTGAAATGTCTAATTGTCTATCTCTAGTCTCGATAAACCTTCTCTCAGGATTTCTTGTTTGCAACCAATGCATCAGTTTTGCTTTACTTTAAAGTGTGCACTAAACTTTTATGTAGTAGTAAGTAAACATTTGACCAGTAGATGGCTCTTTAAGCTAATTTTTGTATTTTGAAGTCTTCTATTAAAATAACAGTGAAAGTAATAGTCTAGTTTTATGTACTTTAAGGTTTCCCAAACCTCAAGTACTTTATATAATGTCTCAGTGCAGACATTCTGCTTTACAAACCATCTAGCAAAAGAAATAACATGAACACCCCTATTTATATACTGAAAGTATAGTGATCTCTCATAATATAAACCATTTGGTACACTGTTGGTTTTTAAAAGAAAATTGCTTGTATCTAACATTTACACAGTGTTTTAGCAGTGTTTAGTCTTTTATCCCTGTTAAAGAATATTTTGTAGAGTGAATGTAAACTACAATATAACTTCTTTTAAAAAAACTTCAGTGGTTGAGACATTCTTCAAAAATCAGTGTAGTAAGTGAAGCTTATAACTGAAATGAAAACTCTACTCCTGGTCACGGTCATTATTTTATATTGTAGATCTGTGTCCACCAAAACATCTACTGTCAGTGTGAAACCACTGTCCAGGGGATAGGCTGGGATACTTGCTTGTTGACAAGTTGTCTTGAAGCTAATATGCAGGCTACATGCCTGACCCCTTAAAAATATCTTCAACTAGTGCTAAGTTTTGAAAATCTATGTGCAAGAGAGGAAAATATTATGAAATTGACAAGAAAACTACCTCATGTGCTCATAAATCCCATGTAGTAGATGACTCATGATCTCGAAACCTACTTTTGCACTATTCTGTGTATACTAAAGGAAAGAAAGCTGCTGCTTGTGGCAAACTTAAAATAGTTTATGTAGCTGAGGTACTGCTGACCTTTGTGAAGCCTCTGATAAGTCTCCACTTAACATCTACTTGTAAATGGCCATGGCAGGCATGTACTATTAGTAGCACTTGTTAAAGTTACGTGTGTGAATCTGTACCTTCATCAGCATGAGTTTTAACCTCAATACCATGTAGGCAATAGTGGGGGTTACAGATAACATAATTATCATAAGCTTTCGTGAGCTAAAACTCACTTCATCACTCCATGCATCTGATGAAGTGGGTTTTAGCCCACAAAAGCTTGTGCCCAAATAAATTTGTTCGTCTCTAAGGTGCCGCAAGGACTCCTCATTGTTTTTGCTGATAGAGACTAACATGGCTACCACTCTGAAACCTGTCATAATTATCATATTTTTAAAAAGTGAATTGCCTTAGTAAAGGAAAATTGATGAATCCATGCTACCTCTGTGATCAGATAGATCACACTCTCTTGCAAGATATGTTCAGTTTCTAACTCCTATAGCCAAGAACAATGGGGACACAACTAAAATCAGTGATCTTGACAAGTGAGTAATGTATAGCAACGGGAAGATCAAAGTAGCTGATGAAATGCTAGATGCAGGAACCTCTCTGAAATAATGGGAGTGACAATAGTACTTGCATAGGGGACAGACTGGCCTTTACATGTTACTCCTGATAAAATACCCTTGGCGGAAATGGTGACGTAACTTCACCCTGGTAGGATAATGAATTCTAGGAACTGAGACTTGTTCATAAGCACGTTGGGTGAAGGATAGGGGGACTTCTTAATAGCGAAGAGACACTATCAGGCTGAACACGGTCTACAGTTGGAAAAAGGTGGATTTTTAAACATAGTGTTGCTT